AATTGTACTTCGATGTCTTACTGATTGAGGAATGATGAAGTGTTTGCCTTAAAAGAAATAAAACCTTTGAAATCAAGATGGGTGAACTTAAACTCCCAAAATTCCCTAGCCAGGTTCTGTGGGGTTGCCCCAAAATCTACATGAAGTCACAAGGCATCAAAATCAGTTTGAAGGAGGCCTTATTTTACAACTGGGGAGAGGAATAAATAAAGGGGTTTTTTTTAACTGCGTGAATAGTTGAAGTAGCCAACTGAAATTCTCCAAGGAACCCAGAAATAGAGCAGGAAGACCATTTCTATGGTCTGAAGGATGTATTAATATCATCACACGTTGGTAGCATCATTTTTTGCTTTTTGCTTAAAGTAACAATAAGCACAAAAAAGATCTCTAAGCTTTCCAGATACTTAACCGTCTGTTTTATTAAAAGCAGCAGGCATCCCATGGCAGAGTCATGCCCTCCAATTCTATTCATATCCCCTTCAGTGATTTTTTTTTTTGCTGCCATTTATTATCTATTTATTCGTGGATATATATTCCACTTTCTTGAGTGGCTTTTATGACTTAAAAAGTCATAAAACTGTGATGAGAAACAAATTTTAAAAATGAAAAATGTGTTAGTAAACTATTAACATATTCATGGACTTGATGGAATAGATTTCCTACTAAGGAACCTATTTGTTTTATCAACCCAAATGATAAAAGAATATCCCATTTGTTATATGGCTGCCAACATCATTGCCAGTTCCAGAAGAATCCCAGGCTAATAAGATCCTTATGGGTCATCCTCAGGCATACCATCCAGAACAAGCACATCTGCTGAATAATTTCCTGCTGTGTCTTTCTCAAACCTAAATGTCAAAACAATACATTTGGAAATAATGGTCTATCACTGAAATAAAGTCATCTTGATTTATAGCAACATATCTCTGCTCCCTATTAATGTATGAAATACCCTTAAAGTGTAAATAATTTAAAACCATTTAAACCTTGGCTATGTTGAAATAAACAAATCTGTAGTTTCAAACAATTTGTAGTTTCTATTTTTCATTTCTGTGCTTTGTTCCTCTCTTGAGATTTGTTGAAGAAACAAATGACACTAAAATCCCTTTTTGTTCATTTCTCCTATGCATTTTGCATACCATGTGCTTAATGGACACAGTTTTTCACAAGTTTTTTTTAAAAGAAATATCCCAGGTATGTTGCTTTCACCAGTATTTTTGTGCAGACTTTTCTATTTGCTATTTCTTTGTATGATTCTTTTAGTTGGAGAAAGGCTTTGCAAAAAACTGTACATTTCATAAAAACCAAATTTAAGTTTGCGGATGAATTCAAAAATGTGAAAATTCCTACATTTCTTGTCATAGCAAATTGCACATGTTGACTGCATTTCTTCCCACAATGGACAGCCATCATGTGAAATTTGCTGCATTTGGTGTGCAATGGCTCAGCAGTTAAAAATGTTGAGCTTGTCAGTTGGAGAGCCAGGGTTCAAGACCTGAGCGCTGCACAACAGGGTGAGCACCCATTACATGCCCCTGCCAACCTAGCAGTTCAAAAGCATGCAAATGTGAGTGGATAAATAGGTACCACTTTGGTGGGAAGGTAACAGTACCCTGTTTGCTTTTGATGTATAGCCATGCTGGTCATATGACCATGGAAATGTCTTCAGACAATGCTGGCCCCTTGGCCAAGAAACAGAGATGTGCACCATGTCCTAGAGTTGGATACAACTGAACAGGGGAAACATTTGCCTTAAATTTCATAGAA